GCATTTAAGTACACCCATGTAATCCAATGCCTACAGAGGCCAGGAAGAAAGTTTCAGACCCCGGGAAATGAAGTTACAGACAGTTGTTAGCTGCAATGTGGGTTATAAAAACTGAACCAGGGTCCTCTGCAAGAACATTCAGTGTCCTTGACCACTGAACCATTTCTCCAGCCCTTATAAAATCAAAATTTTAAGGCATCAGACTAGCAATATAGTTTTTTTCTTTATTTTCCATGCATCAGTGTTTTGCCTGCATGTATGTATGTACACTACATGTGTTTCTTGTGCCAATGAACTCCAGAAAGGGGAGCATATTCCCTGGAATTGGAGTTACAGATAATCATGAACTGTGTGGCTGCTGGGTATTGAACCTGCATCCATTGCAAGAGCAGCAAGTACCCTTAAGAGCCCTTAAGAATAAGACTTCTTTAAGAAGTGGGCCTTTTTTTATGTGGGCCTTATTGTAGACACAAGGAGAAACATTGAAGCTTATGTATACAAATTATCATTGATACTGTATGAAGAGTGAAAGACTTCCTTCCTTCATTTGTTGACAAGAAATTGACTCTTGATATACATAAAAGCACTTGATGGTCATGTTGAGATTGGTAATATTTCTAGCTCAAACTTAAAAATTCATCCGCATATAATAATTGGACAGATTTATGTATTACAGTGTACTATTTCCATGCATATCTATAACGTGCACTGATTAGATCAATATATCTAATATTTCTTTGTCAATTTGTGTGAAGACTTTGGGCTCCTGTTGTCTGTCGTTTCTAAATTATATAGTAGGCTATTGCAAATTATAGTCTTCTTGCATTGTTCTGTAGTACACTAGAACACATTACACAGGGGAGCATATTTAAGTCATAAAAATTATAATATCCTGTCTCATAGAAAAATCAATGGAAATGTAGAACATTATATTAAGTAAAATAAGTCATAGAATGACAATTTGCACATGTTGACACATGTTTGTAACAAAATTGATTGGAATATATAATTATGCAAAGTTTCTTAAAACAAGACATTTCAGTCTCAGATACTAAATTACCTCTGCAAATAAGCAAAACCAATAAATAAGATAAAACTCATTTTATAGACAAATTTCTAGGATATTAGCAAATTATGCTTTTTAAATTTACAAGATTATGGATATATAATAGTTCTGCTGGAAAACTATTTTACCAAAGTTGACCCAAGAATACATAGTTAAAATAGAGCATAAGCAGGAGGAGAATTAACATGATCTGAAGAGCTACCTCCCAGGACTTCCAGCCTGTGCATTGTGTGAGGGCAGTCCACTCCTAGACCAACCTCATTCACACTCAGTGCTGTTTATTTCAGATTAAGAAAACTTCATTGACAACATTGTACAATGCTGATATAAGTGCACCAAAGCAAATGAAAATGCAAATTTTTAAGTTAGAATTGTAGGCAAACAAGTTCATTAGATTATTAAAATAGCTTCTAATCATAGAAAATGAGATTGAGCTCCATCAGGGTAGCTGCTTGGAGCTCAGCAGACTACAAAAGAGTGCCAGGTTCTGTCCGCCCTCTGGCCTCCACTACCAGGGGGCCTGAGAACCCAGGGGACAGTGTGACAGCCCCTGGATCCTGCCTCTACATGGTGGTGAGCTTCCCATAATTGTGCCATACCATCCCCCCTACCTGGGATTTTCTGAGGCACCTCCCAAGGCCCCGGGGCAGATCTGGCTTTGGTAGGCTGAGGCTGAGATCCTAGCAGACAGCCTGTGAGGGTGGAGTTCTGGCCCCCTTCTGGCCTCCCTGTAGCATAGGGTTAACAACACATAGGACTGCCTGAGAGAGCCTGTATCCTGCCTCCATGTGGTAAAGGAAGCCTGAGTGTGTACCTGACTGGAACCTGAATTGGGCTTCTGTCAGTACCCCTGAATAGTTGATCTGAAGCCATCAATTGGCTCCAAAATAAACCTGAGAGAACCTGAACCCTATACCGACAAGCTTTACATAACCAACAAAGAAAGGATATAGGCTCCCAGATAATACAAACAGAAGCATACTTCAACATAATTCGAATATCAGAATCATAAACAACAAAAGAAATTCATATGTCAAAACCACAAAGAAAGAATAATAAAATGGTAGGCCAAAATACTATGTCCCCAGCAAAGCCCACCAATTCTATAGAAGAGATCTACCAGGAGAAACCCCTAGAGATAACTCAGGACACTGACTTTGAAAGAACAATCATAAACATGATCAAGGAATTCAAGGAATTTAAAGAACACAGGAGCAAACAAATCAAAGAGCTAAACGAAGATAGGGATAAACTTCTAAATGAATTCACAAAGAGATAGAAACACTGAAAAAAACTCAGGCAGAAATGAAGGAAGTACAAAACTAAATAAGCTGACTTGAAACAAGGGAAAGCCTCACCTCTAGAATGAATGAAATGGAAAACAATGTCAACACTGGAGGATGAAGTTGAAGAATTAGATCACTCAAACTAAGAGTATGGAAAATTTAAAAAAAAACACCGGAATGGAAAATGCAAGAGATATTTGACACCATGAAAAGACCAACTCTATGGATTATAGGAATAGAGGAAGTAGAATAATTTCAGGTTAATGGTGTTGACCAGATTCTAAACAGGATTGTAGAAGAGAAATTCCTGGAATTAAGGAAAGACATCCCTATACAAATACAGGAAGTGCACAGAACACTAAATAGACAGGATCAGAAAAGAAACTCCAGACGACATAGCATAGTAAAAACACTAAATGTACAAAACAAAGAGAGAATATTGAAAGCTGCAAAATAAAAACAAGTAACATACAAAGGAAAACCCATCAGAATTCAAGCTGACTTATCAATGCAAACTATGAAAACCAGAAGAGCCTGGACCAAGGTATTTCCAGTTCTACATGACAATAGATGCTAGTTCAGAATACTATACCCAGCAAAAATGTCTATTATAGTTGAGGGGGAAAGAAAAATCTTCCATGACACAAATAGCCTGAAAGAATGCATGTCCACAAAACCACCACTTCAAAGAATACTTGAAGCAATACAGAGAGGAGAGAGAGAAACAACTACACCTTGGGGCAATGAAAGAAAATAAACAAAGATATAATCTAGGAAACACAAAATTACACAGAGAACACAAATAGCAATCAAACTGATGGCAACCAATACACACCTTTGAATAACAATCTTAAATATCAATAGACTGAACTCCCCAGTCAAAGGAAACAGGCTAAGTGAATGGATTAAGAAACAAAATCCATCTGTTTGCTGTCTGCAAGAAACTGATCTCACCTTCAAGGACAGGCAATACCTTAAAAAGGATGGAAAATAATATTCCAAGCAAATGGCACTAAGAAACAAGCAGGAGTTGCAATTCTAATATTTGAAAAAATAGATTTCAAAGTAAAACTAATCAGAAGAGATAAGGAGAGTCACTTTATTCTGATCAAAGGAACTGTTAACCAAGAAGGTATTACAATCCTTAACATATATGCACCAAATCCTGGTGCATGCAAATTTATAATAGCAACACTACAGGGCTTTAAGACACAGATTAAACCCTACTCAGTAATAGTAGGGGACTTCAGTACCCCATTGTCTCCATTAGACAGGTCAACTGGACAAAGAATAAACAAAGAGACATCTGAATTAAATGATATCATACACCAAATGGACCTAACAGATGTCTTTCAATTATTTCATCCAAACAGCAAAGAATACATTTTCTACTCAGCACCTTATAGAACTTTTTCAAAAACTGACCACATACTGGGCCACAAAACAAACCTCAACAAATACAAAAATATTGAAATAATTCCATGCATTCTATCAGACCAGAAAGCAATAAAGCTCAAAATCAACACTGGACAAAGCCCTAGTCACTACATGAACTGAACCATGGTGATTGAACAACACACTCCTAAACAAAGAATGGGTAAAGGAGAAATTAAGAAACAAATAAAAGAATTCCTGGAATTCAACGAAAAGGACAATACAACACAATACAACCTCTGGGACATATTAAAAGCAGTCCTAAAAAGGAAGTTTATAGCTCTAAGTGCCTACATTAAAAAATTAGAAAGACCCCAAGTAAATGACCTAACACTGCAGCTCAAGGCACTGGAAGGGCAAGAACAAATGAAACCCAAACCTAGCAGAAGAGAAGAAATAACAAAAATCAGAGCAGAAATTAAGGAAATAGAAACAAAGAAAATAGTAAGTACAGAGAATCAATGAATTTAAGACATGGTTCTTTGAAAAGTTAAACAAGATAGACAGACCCTTATCTCAGTTAACAAAAAAAGAAAAAAAAAAAAAGGAAGAAAATGCAAATCAGCAAAATTAGAGATGAAAAGGGAACATCACAACAGACACCCCAAAGATCCAAACCATTGTAAGGGAATATTTTAAAAACCTATATACTACTAAACCTGATAGTCTGAAAGAAATGGTTGGTGTCTGAAATCATGGGAACCTCCAAAGTTAAACCAAGAAGATAGCAACAGTTTAAACAGACCCATAATTTATAAGGAAATTGAAACCGTAATACAAAGCCTCCCAATGAAAAAAGCCCAGGTCCAGATAGATTTACAGCAGAATTCTACCAGACATTTAAAGATGGCCTTCAACCAATACTATTTAAATTATTCAAAATGATAGAAACAGAGGGAGAACTCCCAAATTCCTTCTATGAAGCCAGCATTACTCTAATACCCAAACCAGGTAAAGACACAACCAATCAAAGAAAACTATGGACCCATATCCTTAATGAACATAGATGCAAAAATTCTCAACAAAATGCTTGGAAACCGCATACAGAGACACATCGACGGTCAGGATTCTTCTGCAGGAAGGCTTTATTGCATCTCGACAGGCAGTGCAACAAGCTCAAGGGAGAACCAAAGACCGACGACGACCCAAAGCTCGTAGCTGCTTATATAGGGTATTGTTCTCGCCTAGTACGTGGCAGAAGGTGATTGGATCACCTGATTAGGACGCCTCTGGTCCGAGACCAGGGGAATTCCAGCGCAGACTCTGTTAACTTGTTTACTTCTCTCAAGGCCGGATATCGGCGCCATCTTATCTCTGGGCTTTGTCTCAGGCCGCTCCCCATAAGTACTAATTCAAAAAGAAGATGTCAAACTATCACTTTTTGCAGATGATATGATACTATACCTAAGAGAGCCCAAAAGTTCCACCAGAAAACTCCTAGAACTGATCAACACTTTTTAGTATAGTGGCAGGTTGTAAAATCAATCTACAAAAATCAGTAGCTTTTCTATATACCAATAACAAGCAATTGGAGAAAGAATACAGGGAAATGCTCCCATTCACAATTTCTGCAAAAAAATTGAAATATCTTGGAATAAATGTGACAAAAGACAGATCTCTACAATGAAAATTTTAAATTGTCAAAGAAAGAGATTGAGGAAGACACCAGGAGATGGAAGGACCTTCCATGTTCATGGATTGGAAGAATTAATATTGTGAAAATGACCATCCTATCAAAATCAATATATAGATTCTATGTAATCCCAATCAAAATCCCCGTGACATACTTCACAGAATTAGAAAAATAGATCCTTAAATTCATATGGAGGCACAAAAGACCCCAGATAGCCAAAGCAACCCTGAGCACAAAGAGCAACGCTAGGGGGATTACTATACCAGATCTCAAAGCATATTACAGAATCATAAACATAAAAACAGCATGGTACTGGTGCAAAAACAGACACATTGATCAATGGAACATCATTGATGTTCCAAACCTGAGTACACACAATTTCAGCCACCTGATACTTCATAAGGGTGCCAAGAACACACAAAGGAAGAAAGACAGCATCTTCAACAAATGGTGCTGGCAAAACTGGATCTCCACCTGTAGAAGAATGAAACTAGGTCCTTATCTTTCACCTTGCACAAAAGTCAGCACCAAATGGATCAAAGAACTCAATGTGAAGCTTGAAATCCTGAAACTAGTAGAAGAAAACATTGGCAGTAAATTACAGGATATAGGTGTAGGAAAGGGTTTTCTAAATTGGATAGAATTGCTCAGTAATTAAGGTCTGCAATCAATAAGTGGGACCTCATTACACTAAAAAGCTTCTGTACAGCAAAAGAAACAATCAAAAAAGTGAAGAGGAAACCCACAGAATGGGAAAAAATCTTCACCAGTGACATCTCACAGAGGTTTAACATCCAGAATATATAAAGAACTTAAAAAACAAAGAATCAATAAACCAAATGTCCCAATTAAAAGATGGGCTAATGATCTAAACAGAGAGTTCACAAAAGAAGAAATGAAGATGGCTAAGAAATATCTTAAAAAGTGCTCAACATCATTAGTAATTAGGGAAAGGCAAATTAAAACCACCCTAAGATATCACCTTACCTCAATCAGACTGGCTAGGATCAAGAGAACAAATGATACCAAATGCCATTGCAAACACGTGCAGCCTCTTTGGAAAACAGTGTGGCGAACTCTTAGAAAACTAAAAATGAACCTACCATATGACCCAGTTATACCACTCCTTGGCATATACCCAAAGGACTCATCCTATTGCAGGGACATTTGTACAACCATGTTTGTTGCTGCTCTTTTCACAACAGCTAAGAGATGGAAGCAACCTAAGTGCCCCTCAACTGGTGAGTGGTTAACAAAAATGTGGTGTATTTACATAATGGAGTTCTATTCAGTAGTAAAGCAAGATGAAATAATGAAATTTGCAGGTAAATGGATGGAGCTAGAAACTGCTATACAAAATGAAGTAACACAGACTCGGACAAACAAACTATGTATGTTCTCCGTCATATGTGACCCTAGCACCAAGTCCTTTTAAATTCCAGGTCTTTTACTAAGATGATGCCATACAGCATGAAATAACTACCATCATCACGACTTCCCCTGAGTCTGATCACTAAACATAGTCACAATTGGGCTTGTTGTCCGTTGTGCTCATTCATTAAAGGAGCTCCAAGCAGGGTCACAGGACCCTGACCTGAGTATCCAGCCACTCTTCTCAGCCAACTAGTCCAACCTTGGAAGACAAAAGCAAATTGAGGAAGAACCCAGTAGAAGGATGCTTTTGGAAGTCCTTGTCAAGAAACTCCAATAGACTCTCACATGAACTTTTGAAAATTGCCCTGTTGTTTTTTTCTAGTTCCCTGTCTAGAACTTGTAATGCTAATTACTCTTGCCTTTACTTCTCCTTCACATCTCCCATTCATGATTCAAGGACTTTCTTCACCCCTTAGAGGCACGAATTATGCAATTTGGGAGTCTTTTTGATAGACCCACTGAAGGGGTACTCCAATTGCCTCACCCTGCATTCCTGTTCAGCATGGAAGAAGCCAGAGCAGTCTGTGTCCTTATTCCCTTTTGGCAATCTGGGTGACCCCTTCAGAGGATGGTGTGATAAGAATAGGAGGTAGGAATTGTCTAGGCAGTTAGGGTAAAAAAGACCCCAAAGAAATGTAGCCAGTTGCTTGGCAAAAAGTCAATATTTTCTTTGGCCTGTTAACAACATACTCTGTTCCAATGCCAAAAATGTCAAAATATTTTGGAGCTTGTATCTAATCCTGAAAAGATTTTAAGGTTACCTCTTCAGAGGGGGGAGTTTTGGAGGGGACGGAGTGGGCATGGATTTGGTCAAAACACCTTACATGTATGTATGAAATTCTCAATAAATTTTTTGTAAAGAAAAAAAAAGAAAGTAAGATCAATTTTCAGCAATGCCAAAGTCATTGAATAATAGCAATTTTAAAATCTGTATTTAAGAGAGGACATGTAAAGTTAGTGAAATTTACCACACATCAACATCTTCATCCATAGTGTAAGGATAATACTCTCTCAGACAAGTGTTGTAAAGACAGGATTCTGTTCTAGCAAACTTTGTGTTGCTGTGTTAAAACACCATGACCAAAGCAATTCATGGAAAGAAGAGTTTCTTGGGCTTATGACTCCATCAGAATTAGTCCATCATGACAAGGAAGCATGGCAGCAGGCAGCTGGAATAGAAAGATGAGTGCTCACATCTTCAAGCAGGCAAAGAAAATTGGAAAAGGAGTAGGCAAAGAACTCTCAAAGCTAGCCCCAGGGTTTTCCTTCATCCTGCAATGAAGCACCTACTAAACCTCCACAAATGGTGCCACCAACTGGGGCCAAGCACTGAAATGTTTGGAGCCTATGGGGGACCTTCCTCAGTCATACCTCCATATTACACTCCCTGTCTCCCAAAGGCTAATGATCGTATCATAATGCAAAATCATTTAGTTCAAGTTCCCATACTCTTTAATAGTCTCAACAGTGCTCAAAATCTCAACGTCAAAGTCTCTTCAGAGACTCAGGGCACTCTCTGAACAGTCAGCCCCTGAAAAATCAAAAAGTCAGTTACATACTTCTGACATACAATGGCATAGAATACACATTCCCATTCCAAAATGGAGAAATGGGAACTTGGCAAGGAAATACCAAACAAAAACAACACCAAAACTTGCAGAATAAACATCAAATCCAATAGTTTCATGTCCAGCCTGGAACTTTCTTTCCAAATGGCATAGATAATTCAGCTCCTCTAGCTATGCTGTCTGCACCATGTATAAATCTCCTCGGATGGTACCACTCTCTATATACAGATTTCCTTGGCTCATGTTTTATGGCTTGACATATTCAACAACTTGGAGTCTCCACTGCAAACCAGGCTTGACTTTCATAACTTCATAGAGTGGCCTGTCAGGGCCTCTTGACCTCCCAAGGCATTCTTAATGTAGGGACTCCCTGCTGCACTCTGCCTGTCCTCAGAACCTCTCTGAAACCATTGAGGAAGAATTGATGATCCTTTCACTCTTGAATCTTTCTTAATTCTAAAGCCAACACCACATGAATGACATTGTCCTGTTCAACTGCCATTGTGGGAGGGATATTGCCCCCTTTGTCTACATTATTTGATTATCCTTGGCTTTTGTAAGCTGTAGTTTTCTAGGAGCAGAAAACTCCTCTTTAGGCCTTTTCCTTTAACTTGCTGGAAGATAACCTGGGTGAGGTCTTGCTCTGAGGGCTCTCTTGCCACTGTTCAGTAGATGTGGAGGCCTCTCTTTCTAGCTCTAATCTCACTAACAGTGACAACATCTCTTGCAGTATAGCCTTGGTTGTAAGATTAAGCTCCTGGTCCCTCTTTTTCTTTCAAAAATGTACATTTTGTATTTCTGCCACATTTCCTCTTTTTCATTGTAGATTTACACAATATTCACCATTGATAACCATACCACAAATTCAGCATTAAGCTGTCTTGAAATTTCCTACACCAAAGAAGTCCATTACATTTAAATTTATGTTTAGGCAACTTCTTAGTTCACAAGTAGATGACAGCCAGATTATTTGCCAAAATATCCTAGTTGCTGCTTAAGTCCTTATTTCCCTCTGGAGCTACATTGTTCTCAGCATGACTTTCTTCCAGACTCATATTAGAACAGCCTGTAAATATTTGCTTACACGATTTGATCGCTTTTCTAGTCAAAAATTACAAAGTCTTCCAAAATTCTCTGGAAAACAACATGGTCAGATCCTTCACAGCAACAGCTCATTCTCTGGTACCAATTTCTGTTCTAGTTACTTACTGTTGCTGGGTTAAAACACCATGACCAAGGTAATTTACAAAAGGAAGTGTTTATTTGGCTTAAGGTTCCAGAAGAATGAGTCTATCATGTTGGGGAGATATGGCAAGAAGCAGGCAGAGCAGAAAGCTGAGCTCTCACATCTTCAAGTAGGCACAGGAAACAGAGAGAAACTGGAAATGGAGAAGGCTAAAAACTCTCAATGCCTGCCCCCAAGAATGTGCTTCTTCCAGCAAAGCCAGTGCTCCTAAACCTCTACAAACAGTGCTACTGCTTGGGGACAATATTGAAATACTAGGAGCCTATGGGGATTCCTCATTCAAACCACCACAGTTGCTTAGTATTTGTCAAACCTGTAAGACAGTGGCTGGCATGTTGTAAATGTTCAATATGTGTTAGCTATTATTGGAAATATTAATTTTGATTTGATTATATTGTTGGAAAGATTAATAATGATCAACACATT